TTATGTGGTGCTGAGGAATCGAACCCAGGGCCTCATGCATGCAAGGCAAGCGCTCTACCACTGAGCCACCTTCCCAGCCCCACAAATACATTTAATGTATACCTATTGTGTGCCAAGTACTGGTTTTAGCCTCAGGGAAAAGCAGCAAATATGATAAAGACAAATGAGTAAAAATATATGGTATTTTGGATATAGGTGTGAGGGGAAGAAAGTACTGGGAGGAATTGGAATTTTGAGACTTAAGTCTGCTAAAGCAGAGAGTGACATCTGTAAAGACAGCAGTTCATGCAGGAGTAGTTGGTCCCTCCTGCCTTTGGATAGACCACAAATACCTCTCTTCAAGAACCTTCACTTACGCTCATATTCTAGGCAAATACTCTAGAACTAGTAGAATGGTAAAGAATGGTGGATGAAGTCCAGAATAGCATGATAAAGTCACTGGCGCAATCATCAAGACATTGTCATCCCTCTCAAGACACTCCATAAATTCACAATAAAATATTAGCATGTTCGTGGAAAACTCCCGGGTGGGGGGGAGAACCTCCTTCCAGGAAGCCCTATGAGGGAAGCCTTAGCCCAGGAAGGGGCCCATGGATGGGAACCACCCCTCCTCCTGCCTCTCTCCCCCACAGAGATTGAGTCTCACATTATAAAGCAAGAAGATATACTTAATGGCAAAGAGAATGAAATTAAAGAGTTACAGCAAGTTATCAACCAACAGAAACAGATCTTCAGGTGAGGGGCTGGGCTAGGCTGGGGGTTGTTGATGGAAGTGGGGAGCCTGACCTCTGGCCCCTACCCTGGGCTTTCCAGCCCACGACACCGGCTCCATTGCAGGAATCACATGTCTGACTTCCGGATCCAGAAGCAGCAGGAGAAATACATGGCCCAGGTGCTGGACCAGAAGCATAAGAAAGCGTCGGGAAAGCGTCATGCCCGCAGCTACCGTCACAGGGAAAAATAAAATGCTGGTTGTCTTCGTGCTCTCTGGCTCTACTACCCAACTTCTCTGCCTTTTCTGTCTGGTCTGAGGAATCCAGCCCTGTCTTCCCCCCCCCCCTTTGAGTCCAGGGAAAGGGCAGTGAGCCGATGTCACTTCTGCCTGCCTGCCTTCTAGGCCTTGGTGACCTAAGCATCAAAACACCAAGGACTAGGTAGCCAGGCATTGAACAGTAACCTGTCAGGCCACTTCCTGAGCTCAGAGGGGAATGCTGCTCTGGTCTCTAGACCCTGCTACTTCCCTCCTTCCCTTGGGTAGTGGTAGAGTCCACTGGAGTGAGGGAAGTTGTAACCTAGGGAAGGGGCTGGGTCTTTGTGGTCTAGTAGGCACCCTCCCCCCTTTGAGCATTCTAATCCTTTTCTATGTAAACAGTCATGGTTACTCCAGTAACATCCCACACCACTCCCTGTAAATTTAGCTCTCAAGTTGGTTACAGGACAGTGGCTCTGTGTGTGTGTGTGTGTGTGTGTGTGTGTGTGTGTGTGTGTGCGCGACAGAGGCAGAGACAAATTCCCACAAGAGCAAGTCTGAATCTAGGAAATCAGTTTTTTCAAGAATGTCATACCTATGTGTAATGTTGGCTCCAACCAGAAGCTCATCAGTCTTCACAAGTGGATGGGGGGAGAGGGGAGGATGATAATGCTGTATCCATTTGAGAGTGGAAGAAGTGTCTTGAGGGGGCCACAATTAGCTCAAGCTGCTGTGATGGACAGGCCAGAGTCTTTCCAAAGTCATCCATGTGCCCTCAGTGATCATGGGGAGATCAGGCAGGGGACCCAGGAGGCTGAGTCAGATCTGTCAGCTTTAGCTTCTGCTGGGTCACTGTGAGAAAGAGTGTGAAGGAGGGGCAGTGCTGTTGCTCCGCAGCCAGCAACCTGAGTCATAGCAGGACCTTGAAGCCAGGAGTTTAAGGGCAAGTTGGGACCATTGTCATAAGACAATGACAGATGGTGGTGGTTTCCCCACCACCAGGACCAAAGGCTGGGGGTGGGGAGCACCCTAACAGTGGGGGGACTCAGGAGGCTTTAGAGGGAACCACCCTCTAAAGCTAAGCTTGTGAACGCTAGCACTATCCAGCTCCTTCCCAATAGGGAGGGGGGTGTCCTCGAAGCTTAGGAGGAGCCATGAGACAATCAGGAAGGAGTTAAAAAGCATGGAGAAGATGAAATCGCTAGCCAAAAGAGTTCCCTGGTCTGGAGGTCAGGTTTCCTGACTCCAACGTGGATTGGCAGACTTACGGGGCTACACGGCAGGCAAGCCCCTGCCTGGCCTGGCCTGTGATAGGTGCTGGTGGGCCTAGCTGGGGCTCCGAAGGTCCCAAAGGAGGGCCTGCCTGCCTCTCACCTGCCTCTCAGTCAACCCAAGCCTGGAATGCCGTCCCCGCACGTGTTGGAGGACGTCTGAGGTCTCTCCTGCTGCGAGGGGACGCGGCCGCTTTAAGGCGCTCTGACCCCACGGCATCCTCGGGCGGGGCGGGGACAGCGGAGAAGGCCGCCACCGGGCGGAGGCGTCGCGAGGGTGGTAGTGCGAGGTGTCCGGCCCACCATGCTGACGGCGCTCGCCCCGCCAGCCCTGCTTGGGCTCCCAGGGCGGCTGCCCACGGCCCCCGCGCGGCGACAGGACTCTTCAGGTTCTTCTGGCTCCTACCACACGGCTCCAGGTTCTCCGGAACCCCCAGACGTTGGGCCGGACGCAGAAGGCCCGGCGAATTGGCTCTGGGTGGCCCCAGGGCGGGGGGCGGGCGCGCAGCCTCTCCTGTCCGTCAGCGCCCAGAATAGCCGCCAGCAGCCCTGGGCAGGCTCGAGTTTCCCGCGAGGCCCGGGCTCCGGCCCGCCGCCTCCCCGGCCCCAGCTGCGCATGCTGCCGTCGGGGGAGATGGAAGTCATCTTCGGCGCCCGGCCTCTACTCAGCCATTCGGACGCGGAGGATGACAAGGTGCCACAGCTCCCGGCGCCGGCCTTCGGCAGCCCCTCGCTACCGGAGCCAGCTGCGCTCACCCCACCGCAGCCCCGGGCCCCCGACGGTGGCTCCCGCTGGGCCACCTACCTGGAGGTGCGGCCTCGCGGGCCGAGTCCTGAGGTCTCCACGCAGTTCGAGTGTGTGGAGGTGGCGCTGGAGGAGCGCGCCGCGCCCGTCAGGCCCCGCACGGTGCCCAAGCGGCAGATCGAGCTTCGCCCCCGGCCCCAGAGTCCCCAACAGGTGACGGACACGCCGCGCCCACGACTGCTCCTGCGCACCGGCTCCTTGGATGAGTCGCTGGGCCGCCTGAAGGCAGCTGCGGGGCTCGTGCAGTCAGCGTTGGCCAGGAAATTGGGCACCGAGGCTCCTGCCCCAAACTTCACTTTTAGGCCCACGGGACGGCCAGAACCGAAGACGCAGGAAACATCTCGTGGCTCCCGCGTGGTCCTGGAAGAGGGGAGATCTCGGCCGTCCCGCGCACAAAATAGTTCGGCCCCCGCCAGAGCCCCACGGCCTTGGCCCAGCCTCCGAGAACGCGCGATTCGGCGCGACAAGCCCACGCCCGGGACCGAGCCACTGGGTCCTGTTAGTTCCAGCATCTTCCTACAGACTGAGGAGAAGATTCAGGAGGTACACAATCAAGAACCCAAGACTCGGTTCCCTGGAGAGGCTCCGGATCGAATTGTCACAAGGGCACCGAATCCACCTTTGCAGTCTAGGGCCCTGTGGGAGGATCAGAGTAGGGCTGTGAGACCCAGGAGCCCATCCCCGTCCCCGCCGTGGCAATCTCCAAATGGGGCTCTGCGGGGTCCTCTCTGCCCATCTCCCCAGAACCTGCCCCAGTGCGGTCGGACTGTTTGGAGGGTGACTAACCCGTCCTTCCCTGAAGCATCTTCTGCGTGGGGAAAGCGGAATGCCAAAGGTGAGAACACTGTCAGCAGGAGAAGCCCTTCCCCTCCAACTCTTTCCCCGCGGACTCAGGCTGCTGCGAGGGCAAGGAGCCCATCCCCCGAAGCTCTTTCCCCCTGGGAAGTTCCGCATCCGGACGTCGGGGAGGGTGGAGGGCGGGGTAGGGGCCAGTCTCCTCCAGCCTCGTTCCCCTGGGAGGCACCAGATGGTCCCGCGGAGGCGCGGAGCCGTTCGTCCCAGGAGACAGGGGGTCCCGTGGAGCAGGGCTCATCCACAGCATTTCCGCGGGAAGCTATGAACGGCATGGCTGCAGAGTTGGCGTCACCTACACCATCGTCGCCCGGCACTCCAGAAGAAATAGAGGTGCAGAGCTCGCCCACTCGGGAGATTCTAGATCTTGCCTTCCGAGGCAGTCAGCCATCGCCAGAGGTAGAAGCGCTTGAGCCGCCCCGTGGTCATCTCGTAAACACCCTGGACGACCATGAGCGCCCAGAGGCCCTGCGCTCGGGAGAAGCAGCTTCGGGACGCCCGCGCGTGGCTATTCCGCTGCCGCGAGACGTGCGCAAGATCGTGAAGAACACTTACGCGCCAAGCTTTCCCGCGGGAAGCCCCGGCTCCGCGCCGCCCAAGCCTCCCGCACAGCCTTGCGGAGAAGAGGGCGTCTCAGCCAAGGCGCAAGCGCCTCCGGCGCTGGGGTCCCCCGCCCCAGCTCACTACACTTCTATTTTTCTCAAGGATTTTCTACCCGTCGTGCCGCACCCCTACGAGTCCCCGGAGCAATCCCTCCACACAGCACCCCCAGACGCCCCGCAGCCCAACGGGCTCCCGCGGCGGAGGGCAGAGAACAGCACCGCCAAACCCTTTGCGCGCACGGAGATCCGTTTGCCTGGCGCCCTTACCTTGGGCCAACGTCTTGAGAGAACCCCGGGAATCCAAGTGCGAGGTACTAGCCAAGAGAAGCCCGAAGCCGGCGCGCAGCGTCTCGTCCTGGACGGCGAGGGTCGGACCAGCCCCCTAGAGGGCGCTCGCGCCCTACCCAAGCGGCCCCCCGTAGGGACAGTCGGGACCCGATTACCCCGCCCCGGCTCCCCGCAGGCGCGCCCCAATTTGAGCCCTGGGATCGCACCCAAAGTGGAGACATCTCCTGTGGCCCCCGAGCCCCAGGTGTCGGCCAGCAGGCCCAGCCCACCCCAGCCGCAGCGCCGAGCTGCCTCTGCGCCCCCCACGGACGGGATCCCGCAGGGCCCCTCGCAGGGGGTGCGGAGGCCGCCCGGAGCCGCACCCCCAGGGAAGGTCCTCGTGGACCCCGAGAGCGGCCGCTACTACTTCGTGGAGGCGCCACGGCCGCACAGACTACGGCTGCTCTTCGACCCCGAAAGCGGGCAGTACGTAGAGGTGCTGCTGCCGCCCTCTTCCCCCGGGCCACCCCGACACGTGTACACCCCGCTGGCCCTGGGGCCCGGCCTCTACCCACCCGCCTATGGGCCTGTCTCTGGCCTTTCCCTGCCGCCGTCCCCTAACCCACCGGCCTTTGGCAGTCCCCAGCTGCCCTGGGCCTCGGAGGCAGGGCCCCTGGACGGGATGTACTACCTGCCGGTGAGCGGAACCCCCAGTCCCGCCCCACCCCTGCTTCTCTGTGCCCCGCCCCCCAGCTCAGGTCTAGTCCAGCCCAGCAAGGGCTCTGCGTTCCCATTGTGAGGCCCCCAGGACCCAATCCCCAAGGAGTCCGCCTCCCAAATGGCAGGAGCTTACAATCCCCTAGCCTTCTTTTCTATTAACTGTTTGATCTGTCACAGGGAGGGTCCTTTGGAGAAGGTATCTGAGATTTCCCGGCTGATGGAGCTGGAGCTCAGGAAATGACTGATGACTTCCTCCCCTCAGCAACAATGCAGAGCCCCATCCCAGGCGTTCCCCTGTGTATGTGTGTATACAGGCAAGAGAATAGGTAAAAGTGAGGAGCAGCTGGTGGAGCTGATAGAATTTCCCACGGGCAGCAGGGAAGATATCTGCTCCTGCCTGACACTGAGCGCAGTTGATGTGACACAGGACAGAAGAGTGGAAGGTATTGAAGGTGGAGATGGAGGGGAAGGATTCTGGCTATCAAAGTTCTTGTTTTGTTTGAGACAGGCTCTCATTATATGGCTCAAACTGGCCTAAAATTATGTGTGTGTATATGTGTGTGCCAGTACTGGGACTTGAAGTACAGGCCTGCGTGCTGTCCCTGAGCTCTTTTGCCCAAGACTATTTCTCTACTTGTTGAACCACAGCTCTACTTCTAGCTTCTTGTGGTTAACTGGAGATAAGAGTCTTTTGAGCTTTTCCTACTCTGGCTGTCCTCAAACTATAATCCTCAGATCTCAGCCTCCTGAGTAACTAGGATTACAGGTATGATCCCTGGACACCTGGCCTGAAGGTTTTGATTCTTCTGTCTCAGTCTCCCAGGTGCTGGGATTACAGGTTTACTCTGGGTGAAAGCAGTCAGTGTTGGTCTCAGGCCAGGTTGAATTTCAGAAAGGGAACTGCAGGAACAGCAGGTGGAGGAGGGGCTATGGATAACCAGACTGGAACTGGAAGAAGACTGGAGTGAGGTGGCTAGGTGGTGGTCCCCGTGGGGAGCCTGCCTCCTCTTTCTTCACTTCAGGCCAGTCTTTGCCTTGCTTCTCCTCTCAGCCGGCAGAGCTGTGTTGGCTCATTTTGAGAATGGGGACTTCAGCATTCTTACATAGGTAGGGGGCAGGTGAAATGAGTCAAGAGGGAGAATGGTTGCGTTATTGTCCCAGGAGAACTCTCTTACTCCTCTGGGGACCTGAAACTAAGTTAGAGTTGGCAGCAAGAGGAATACAGGGTATAGTGCAAGCTGATGGGCCCCCAGGCTCTAGCTCACTACCCCAGGAACAGATGTGACAACAATGTCCCAGAAATGCTGACTTTGTAAGTCACAACACAGGAAGGACTCAACTTGTGCTGCCCAGAGACACTGAGAAAGGCTGAGGGAACACAGGGGGAAATCTGTGGGAGGTGCCCTTCATGGGGGGGGGAGGGTATAGCTGTCTGTATAGCTCTGAGCCTGAATTAGACCTTTCTGGGCTAAGCTGTGACATTGTTTTAGGAAGGACAGTGTCAGAAGCAGTGACAGGGATGGAGATCAATGTTTTCCTTATTCCAAGCCTTTAGGGGTCCAGATCCCTTGGAGTCTTTGTCCCCTTGCCCTGGACTAGAAGCTGACTAGATAAACCATGAGTCTTCTGGAATATAGGGAATACTGGAGTCTTAACATCTCTTGGTCAGAGACACTGATCCCGATGGCATGCCTTTGGGTGCTTCACCTCATCCTAGTGTGCAATAAATGGCTGACCATAGAGCCATCATGGCTGAAATGATGACTGCTCTTAGGTGCCTAATTTCCTGCCGCCTCATGTGTGTGCACGTGTGTTGTGTGTGTTGTGTGTGTATGTACTGGTACTAGGGCATGAACTCAGAGCCTAAGTACTGTCCCTTAGCTTTTTCCACTCAAGACTGGTGCTCTACTACTTGAGAGATAGCTCCACTTCTGGCTTTTTGATGGTAGTTAATAGGAGATAAGAGTCTCATGCACTTTTCTGCCTGGGCTGGCTTTGAACCTCAGTCCCAGTCCACAGATCTCAGCCTCTTGAGTAGCTAGTTACCATCAATGTCCAGTGCTGCTGCTATCTCTTGACAGACTCCCTCCTCATGCCCTTCAAGGCCTGGGCAGAGGGGACTCCAGGGTTAGAGAGTATATGTGTGCTTTCATACACTGTGCCCCTTCCCACCTTAGCAAATTTGTCTTCCAGAGAGGATGCCCTAGGCTACAGCCACACTTGCGGCTGGTATCTGAGTGACCAGTGGGACTTAGTTTCCAATTTTAGCATAGCTCCTTTATCTAGAGTACTTGTCACTTTTCTCTGAGTCTCCCTGTCCTCACCATCAGAATAAAGATGACGTTGTGACCAGACACCTTCCTCCATAAGGTACTCAGCCTAGTACCTGCCACTTGGCCTGTTCATAGCACGTGAGAGCCATCGGCCCCCATGAGTCCTTGCCCAGCTCTAACAACTCTCCTTGCCTCATTGTTTCCTGTCTATGCAATGGAGCCAAGCTGGCTGGATCCTGTAGAGTGCAGCATGCACACGTGGCATCTCTAGGGAGGGGGGCGGAAGAGGAAGACAAGAGGGGTGAGGTGTCGGTTCCCCATTGGTCTGGGCCACCACAGTGCACAAGTGCACCTGCACATATGTGCCCCAACCACAGCCCACGCTCGCTGAGCCGACTCCAGAGACCATGAAGCTGCCACTGCCACTGTTGCTGCTGTTGGGTGCCTGGGCTATCCCAGGGAACCTTGGATCCAGTGCCTCACTTTCAGCTACTGCCCCACAGTTAGATGAGGAGGAGAAGTACTCAGCCCACATGCCTGTTCACATGCGGTGTGATGCCTGTAGGGCTGTGGCCTACCAGGTGAGTTCTTCTCTCCAGAATCCCCCCTACTCCTATCAAGACCCCTCCTAAGTCAGACCCACCTCTACCTCAGATTCCACCCCTGGCCTTTGATCCTCAGGCCCCTACGCGCCCCCCCCCAGCCGCCCCTACCCCCCACACTCAGCCTTCCATGATAGTGCTAGCCTACATGCACCACCGTCCCTTAGTTTACATATCTGCTGCCCAACAGAGAGCAGACAATTCACAATACCCCTGTAGTACTTTGAGACCCCAGGGATCACGCTCTTGAGTCCTTAAGCTTTTCACTGTCTTTGCCCACTCTTAGGTTTGGACTCCCTCCCCAAGCCCACAAGATAACATCATGTGTGTGTACCTGGTGCCCACACCGAGGGGCAGGGGGGAGGCATGTGTGTATGCGTGTCTGAGTGTGTGAATGTCTCAGGGCCCTCTCAGGATGAGCAGGCTTCTGTGCCCAGGTCACGTGTGGGGGTGAGGGAAACTGCAAGTATATGTGTCACTGAACACTGGGCTTTGGTGTTGTTCTTTCTTGTTTTCTTCCTTCCTCTTTCTTTTTTTTTCCTTTCCTTGTTCTTGTGGTCTAAACTAACATGTATAGACTGGGTGCTGGTGGCTCACTCTTGTAATCCTAGCTACTTAGGAGGCTGAGATCTGAGGATAACAGTTTGAAGCCAGCCCAAACAGAAAAGTCCTGACTCTTATCTCCAGTTAACCATCAAAACAGCTGGAAGTGGAGCTGGTTCAAGTGATAAAGCACTAGCCTTGAGAAAAAGAGCTCAGGAACAGTGACCAGGCCCTGAGTTTAAGCCCAGGACTGGCACATATAACAAACAAGAAATAAATAAATGACATGTGCCCTGGAGGAAGAGCTTAGTAACCAGGCCTAGCCTTTCACCTTAGCATTTCCACCCTCACCCCAGTGTAGGCGACCTTGCCTCCATCAGCACAGAGCAGCTTTCAGGATCTGGGCAAGGGGCCTGCTCCCTTGCTAGTTACCTCATTCCCCCCAAATACTTCCGTTTCTGTCCTCCCGTCCTTCTTCCAACTGGCCAGCAGTCCCAAAAGCCTGGCTCCCAATCCCTCCTCATTCCAGATGTGGCAACATTTAGCAAAAGCAGAGGCCAAGCTTCATATTCCAGACTCCAGGGGGCGGCTGGAGCTGACTGAGTCGGTTTACATGGACGTCCTGGACCAGAGTTGCTCCCAGAGCTGGCAAGAGTGAGTTGCCCCTGCCTCTCTCCTCCAGGGGCAGGGCCGGTGGGGACAGACTCCTCCTACCCTCCCACTTCGCAGCACAAACAAGACTATGGCTTAAGGGAAGAGCTGGCTATGATGAAGTCTGGGCTCTGGTGCTAGGAACAAATGGGAGAGCAGATAGCTGGTAGAAAGGTCATCATGGAGTCCCTGACCAGACTCCCACCAATCAATACTATATCTCTTGCATCCTACCCACTGCCATCAGCTATGGGGTCCGAGAAGTGAACCAGGTGAAACGTCTCATGGGCCCGGGACTTGGCAAGGAGCCTCAACCGAGAATCAGAGTGGTGATAACCGGGGGGCCCTGGCCCAGCAGGTGATGATGGGGGTGTGATGGGGGGGGGCTAGGGCAGAGCCCTTGAAGCCTTGGTTTGCCCCTTTACTTTCCCATGGACTGGTAGGGTCTGAGGCTCTGCGGGCTTCCCTAGGCTCTCCAAAACATGCCTGCACTACCTGGGAGAGTTTGGAGAAGACCTAATCTACGAAACACACCAACAAGGCCAAGAAGCTCTGGAGGCACTGCTGTGTGAAGGTCCTCAGGGGGTCTGCAGCAAGGAGGCACCAGCCTCAAGAGAAGAGCTCTAGTCCACGATTCCTCCTGCCCCTAAGGAGAACCTGAAGCCTCGCCAAGATCTTTCTTATACCTACCTATCAGCACTGGGAAACCATTCCCCCACCCCACCTGAGAACAGGAGGTCTGACTCAGTGCAGTCACTCTCCTCCCTCCTCACCCCAGGGCACTGGGTCTGACAGGGGACAAGGCCTGCAGTCTCTAGATTCAAATAAAACCCAGTGGCCTTGAAACATCTTTGCAAATGATATTTGGGGGACTGGGAAGATAGACATCAGGGTTGCTGCCGATATCCCTCCTACAAAGGGCTACATCCACACACTAGGACTCCCAGAAGTAAGAGCACTGGCATGGTTGAAACAGTGAGCAAGCTTTGAAGGGCCTATGAAGCTACTTGGCTCAGGGACAGGACAGCTCAGATCCTTAGAGCCATTAGCAAGGAACCATATGCAGCCACCTTGTGGCCATTCAGGCATCTACTTACTACCCACTCACTATGTGTCTGTCCTGTTTTGTCCCTAACAGCCCTCACTCTCGCTACACTTTGTCTCTGCCCATAGTTGGTATGGCTGGGTTATGGGGTGACCCTGTGGGGCAGGACAGGATAGGACAAGGTTCCCAGAACTAGCCAACTGACAGCTCTCTCCAGAAATTCTCCAGCTCAGGGCCCTTCTCTTGGGAAAGGATCTCGGAGTCCCCCCTGGGTCTGAGAACCTGGGATCAGGTAGTGCTCCAACTTATAGTTTCCCTTAAGTATCACTGACTCACTGACCCACAGAACTGTTTGGCAAGGTTGGGAAGAGATTCAGACTTTGAGGGTGAGGTAAGGCGGGCTGCTGGAGGAAGGGAAATATCCCAGGTAGGCTGGGACCCACACCCAGGCCCTGGGGGCTGTCCTGGAGCCCCAGCCTTCCACATACCATCACCTACTCTACAATCTACGTTGTTTCCTTCTTCCCTGGTCCTTGAGAACCTTGGGCACCAGGAAAGCCAGGGCCTAGGGAACTGGCTGAGCTCTCAGGTGTATAAGATGTGGGTTTGAACAAGTGTCTGCCTGGGACAAGGACCTGCTTTGTGACTCTGTGCTTATGTAGACTGCACCAAAGTCTGGATAGTATAGGCCCGTTTGGACTTCTTTGTAATTCAGGTATGGACAAATTCCAGACCTGCCCTGCATGCCTGTGAGATTTGGGTTGAATTGTCTGATGTGAATTGTATGGTGAATTGGGTTGAATTGTGTGGTGAGGTCTGGGTTGAATTGAACTGGGGGGAGGGGAAGGGTGTTCACTGCCCCCTGCAGAGCACTAGTTGAGGGGTGGGAAGGCAAAGAGACTCCAAACAGGTTAGGCGACTTTGGGAGCCAGAGCCAAGAGGGAAAGAAGAGGACAGAGGAAGGAGCTGGAGCTTGGACAGACAGTCAAACTCAGAGCTGTGGCATGAAGTTATTGGAGAGCAGTGCTGCCTGTGCCCTAGGCCTGGCCTTTGCCTCACCCTGGCAATGGGCACAGCAACTCAGAAGTAGGTGGTTCCTGGGGTGGCTGGGGCAGCCCACAGAGGAGCGTTCCCCAGCTCCTCAGCTCAAGGCAAGCACTCTACCACTTGAGCTACAGCACCACTTCCGGTTTTCTGGTGGCTTATTGGAGATAGGAGTCTCACGGTCTCTCCTGCCCGGAAAGCTTTGAACCGTGATCCTCAGGTCTCAGCCTCCTGAGTAGCTAGGATTACTGACGTGAGCCACAGGCACCTGGCTAGGTCTGGCTTTTTAAGCTGTGTGATACGTGGACACGCAGGGCCTTGTCCTTAGAAAAGCCACAATGCCTGCTCTTCTCAACTTTTATTTGGGGGGGGCTAGGGGGAGGTACAGTACTGGGGTTTGAACTCAGGGCCTTGTGTTTGTTAGGCAGGTGCTCTAACACTTGAATCTCTCCCTCAGCCTACCATTACAAATTTGTGTGTGTGTGTGTATGTACTAGTCCTGGGGCTTGAACTCAGGGCTTGGGCTCCTGGCTCATTATAAAATTCTTAATACTTTTGGTTTGGGTGCTGGTAGCTCATGCCTGTAATCCTAGCTACTCAGGAGGCTGAGATCTGAGGATCCTGGTTTCAAACCAGTCCAGACAGGAAAGCCTTATCTCCCATTAATCACCAAAAATAGAAATGGAGCTGTGGCTCAGTGGTAGAGCATTAGCCTTGGCCAAAGAAGCTCAGGGAAAGCACTTAGGCCCCTGAGTTTTGGCTTCAAAACTAGTACCAAAAGAAAAAAATCATAATTCTTTTGGAAAAAGGGTCACTTCCTCAATTGTGCTGGGTCCTACCGACTCCACAGCTAGTCCTGGCTGGGAGGGAAATGAATCTTCTTCCTGGCAAGGGTACAGGCCACAAGGGCCTATCTTTGCTGCCTTGGGGATCCTGTGTGTTAAAAGGGTAGTAGGGTGGGTCAGCCCCCACCAGCCTGAATTTAGGCTTTTTAATGGGGGGGAGAGCGGGGAAGGTAATGCTGATTCTGGGGCTTGAACTTAGGGCTTGTGGGCACCGTCCTTGAGATATTTTGATCAAGGACAGTGCTCTACCATTTGAGCCATAGCTCCACTTCAGCCTTTTGGGTGGTTAATTGGATATGAGAGGCTCATAAAAGTCTCATGGACTTCCTGCCTGGGCAGGAAATCACAATCCTTAGATCTTAGCCGCCTGAGTGGCTAGGATTACAGATGTGTGCTACCAGCAGCACCTGGCATAGGTCTGTTTTTCTGAAACCTGTATGGCTTTGGTCGAATTACTCTATTTCCTCAGCTCTAAAAGAGTTAATACTAGTGGCAGGGAATACAAACATGTGTATCACTTGGCGCTTAATACTTCCTCAGTAAGGACAATGGTTTTAGTGATGATAAGGATTAACTTGTTAATCAACAGGGAAGGGCTTTGTGTGGAAGGTGGTTGGTAGTCCCAGTGCGTATTCCCCCTCCCTTTCCACTCACTTCACAGAGTTAAACATTTGAGACTGTCCCTTCCTCACCTCCTCCACTCTGGCTGTCTCCAAGCAAACAAGAACAGGACTCATGCCAGGCTCAGCTAGCTGCAGGCAGGGAAAGGAATTCTTGCAAATGTGTCTTTGTGATACTTGGATGGCCTTTACCACCATAGCTAGGAGTTAATACCTTACCTCTGCCAGTGTCCCCCTTTCGCAATCCACAACTAGGGACCTGGTTACAGATTTACTTTGAACAATGTCTGATATATGGAGTAAAGTCCTTCCTGGCCTTTGTAAAGTCATCCTCTCTTCTCCCTCAGGAGCTTCTCAAGCCTGTGTCCCACAGATGAGGACTCAGGAAGACTCCGAGGGCCAGACACAGGTGCTGGGGGACTGGGGGAGCCGGGTTGGGGGCAGGCAGATGGACACTGGAGGGCCTAGGCAGGCCTCTCTGGCAGGGAAGAGTCAAAATTTGTAATTAACTTGCTAAAACGTGAGTCCTGAGCTGAGTGGGGCGACTACGGGATGGGTGGGGGTGAAGGAGCTTTGAACCCCACTGAGGAGGGTGGTAGTCAGTAGAAGCTTGGTCTCCTCCCCAGTGACGCCCCCAGGGACCGCTGAAGGGAGGGCGGGACTAGAGTGGGCTTATCCAAAGTGTGGATCCCTCTCTGCCCCTCCCCTGGTGCTTCCCAGGTCTTTTGACTTAGGAGCTTGTCCCTGGCTAGAATGCTCTGACTTGTGGACTCCAGGGGTGAGCAGAATGTATTCTTCCTGGCAGGCAGCAATTTGAGGAGCTGCCAGGCCCAGTAACTACCAGGCAGATGGACTGGGGGCACAGGGTGGGTACCCCAGGCCGGTCACTTGGCCTCCGACCCTGGGGGGGCCAGCATGGACTTTGCCTGTTCATTACTCCCCCTGATCAACTGCTGTCTCCTGCCCCAGAATGAGTCCCCAGGCTCAGCAGAGACTTCTGCTAGAGACCCGAAGATGACCCAGTCCATGGAGCCTAAATCCGACATGTTGTACAAGATCGAGGATGTGCCACCTTGGTACCTGTGCATTCTGCTCGGCTTCCAGGTGGGCCTCCCCACCCCCAGCCCACAAGCCCCAGGGTTTCCCACCCCACCCCTGGAGAACAAGGTCATCTCAGGCAAAAGAGAGAGACCTAAGGTCAGCCAAGAGACTGCCACCACGCAGGGAGGAGGGCAGAAGAGGGCAGGGAAGAGGAACAGAAGATTGTGGAGCATCAGTTACAGACGGAAGGCCCATCCACAGGAATCAAAGGGTGGGGTGGGGCAGACAGGGGTTAGTGACCCCAAAAGTGGTGACCAGTGGAGAATGTCAGTGTGTGGGGGCAAACCTGTAGGGTGGCCCAGGTCCCCCCCCCCCCGGTTTCCATGTGAGCTCTGTAGGCCCTGCCTCACCCACTCCTTTTGTCACCTCAGCATTACCTGACATGCTTCAGCGGCACTATCGCTGTGCCCTTCCTCCTGGCCGAGGCTCTGTGTGTGGGCCGTGACCAGTACATGGTCAGTCAGCTCATCGGCACCATCTTCACATGTGTGGGTGTCACCACTCTCATCCAGACCACACTGGGCATCCGGTGAGCGGCCCCTCCCCACTCACAAGCGCGTATGTACCTCTGTGCGCATGCGTACATGCTATGCAGGCAGCAGGAGCACGCGGTCTTGCCCCACGGGAAAATAAAAACTTACCTGAGCACATCTGATGTTCCTGCTTCCAGGCCAATCTTAGAGCCAAGCATCTGGTCTGCTCTGGAACTCCTCAAGGTCAAAGAGTCTGTAGATTTAAGGAAATGTGCCCAAGCCCCCAGTCCTTTCCACCCAAGCCCTACTCTGAATGCTCAGGACCCTCTTCCCTGTGCAGGCCTGGGGAGTCCCTCTCCTGTTGTGAACTGTCAGTCCTGGTGGCAGATGGATAGTTGTTTGAATGTGGATGGTAAGAAACAGTGATGAACAGAGCCAAAGTTCATATGCCAGAACTGAAGATTACCGCTCATAGTGAGGAATTGGTATGCACAAGGAAAGGGTCAGGTGTTTTGGGTTCTTTTGTGCTGGTCCTGGAGCTTGAACTTACAGCCTCACACTTGGTAGGCCTGCATGCTCATAGCTGGTACTCTACCCCTTAATTAACTGGAGATGGAAGCTCTCTCTCTTTTTTTTTTTTTTGGTTGGTTGTGGGGTTTGAACTCTGGGCCTGGGCGCTGTCCCTCATCTCTTCAGCTCAAGGTTAGAGCTCTACCACTTGAGCCACAGCACCACTTCCAGTTTTCTTGTGGTTTACTAGAAATAAGAGTTTCATGGAGGGCTGGGAAGGTGGCTCAGTAGTAGAGTGCTTGCCTTGCATACATGAGGCCCTGGGTTCAATTCCTCAGCACAACATAAGCAGAAAAAGCTGGAAGTGACACTGTGGCTCAAGTGGTAGAGCGCTAGCTTTGAGCACCCAGGCCAAGAGTTCAGGCCCCACAACTGGCACAAAAAAAAAAAAAAAAGAGTTTCATGGACTTTCCTGCCCAGGCTGGCTCTCAATCCTCAGATCTCAGCCTCCTGAGTAGCTAGGATTATAGGCGTGACTCACCAGCACCCAGCTCCCAGTTGGTTTTGAACCATGATATTCTAGGTCTCAGCTGAGTAGCTGAGATTATAGCCACTGGTGCCTGGCAGGAGCCAGGTTTTGAGCTAGAGGCCCCATTTGAAAATGTTAGAGACCTTTGCCACTACCCTTGGTCCTCTCCGTCTCCTCTGTGCCCCTCCTTACAGTCTCCTTGCTTCTCCCCCTGCCCCTCCCTCCTAGGCTGCCACTGTTCCAAGCCAGTGCTTTTGCATTTTTGGTCCCAGCCAAAGCCATCCTGGCCCTAGAGAGATGGAAGTGTCCTCCTGAAGGTAGGCATATTTTGGAGGTGTGGGTTGGAGGAGAGGGAGGCCCAGGGACTTGAAGGTTTGGGCAACTGTCCCAAGTCCATGTCCAAGACACAAGATTGTATTCATGAGCCAGGTGCCGCTGGCTCACGCCTGTAATCCTAGCTACTCAGGAGGCTGAGATCTGAGGATCACGGTTCAAAGCCAGCCCAGGCAGGAAAGTCCATGTGAGACTCTTATCTCCAATAAACCACTAGAAAAACCAGAGGTGGCACTGTGGCTCAAGCGGTAGAGCACTCGCCTTGAGCAGAATTGCTGAGGGACAGCGCCCAGGTCCAGAGTTCAAGCCCCATGACGGACCAAAAGAAAAAAAAAAAAGACTATATTCATGGCCCTGTCCTTTTTTTCTTTGTTCTTGTCTCTGTCCCCAGAGGAAATCTATGGCAATTGGAGTCTGCCCTTGAACACTTCTCATATCTGGCACCCTCGAATACGCGAGGTGAGAGGCCACTCCTAAGGAAGGGCTAGATGGTAATAAGGACCACTGCTTAGTTGTAGAATTTAAGGAGATGGTTAAAGAATTTTCATCCTGCTAGCAATGAGGACATGTAGTAACTAACAGTTGATTTTGTCCTTTTAGGTTCAGGGTGCAATCATGGTGTCCAGCACAGTGGAGGTGGTGATTGGGCTGATGGGGCTGCCTGGGGCCCTTCTCAGTTACATAGGCCCTCTCACAGTCACCCCCACTGTCTCCCTCATTGGCCTCTCTGTCTTCCAAGCTGCTGGCGACAGAGCTGGCTCCCATTGGGGTATCTCAGCTTGGTGAGTTAACACCAGGCCTGATCCTTGCCCAGCTCCTGCCCTCCAGCCCCTTTATGATCTGCCCCCTTTGTCCTGCCTCCTGGTCTCGGTCTAGCCTACTAACCATCTCCTCCTTGTGTGCCTAGCTCCATTCTCCTGATTGTACTCTTCTCCCAGTATCTGCGCAATCTCACTTTCCTGTTGCCAGTCTACCGCTGGGGTAAGGGCTTCACTCTCTTCCGCATCCAGATCTTCAAGATGTTTCCGGTAAGGAGCTGGCAGGCAGCAGGGTTGGGCAGGGGAGGGACTAAGGCGGGAGCTGGATTTGTGCCCAGAGCCAAGGGCAGGTAATACATAGGAGCCTGAGCCAGAATAGTGATGAGGTTTCAGCCATAGTCTAGATCAGATACTGGGGCAGGGTTCCGAGTGAGGGCAGAGGCTTACACTTGGGTCAGGGCTGAAATAGGAATAAGCCAGTCTGGACAGAGAACCCTAGTGCCTGTAGTATATCCCTCACCCTACTTCCTTCAGATTGTGCTGGCCATCATGACTGTGTGGCTGCTGTGCTATGTGCTGACCCTGACAGACGTGCTGCCTGCAGACCCAACAGCCTATGGATTCCAGGCACGAACTGATGCCCGAGGGGACATCATGAGTATCTCACCTTGGATCCGCATCCCCTACCCCTGTAAGCAACCTCTTTTGGCTCCTCTGCCTCCTGCTGACACCTAGGAGACCCTGGCAACCCCAGGGTAGCTACCAACAACACAACTAGCATTAACTGCATGCTTATGGCATGCCAAGGAGTGTTTTACTCAGACAAAACCTTACTTCAGGTTCACACCTCTGAGTGACTCAAATAAGTTCCACCAGTGGTTACCATTCCAGCCCTAGACACCCCCACAAGCTGCTCTTCCCCTCAAGAATTCACCTTGTATCTCCTGTCTTTCCCCCAACCCAGGTCAATGGGGCCTGCCCACCGTGACTGCGGCTGCTGTCCTGGGTATGTTCAGTGCCACACTGGCAGGCATCATCGAGTCCATTGGTGATTATTATGCTTGTGCTCGCCTGGCTGGTGCACCACCCCCTCCAGTACATGCTATCAATCGGTATGTTTACTTCTGCACGAATCCCGAGGGCCCCCACTGAAGGAGAAAACGTAGGAATGGGGCTGAATCCAGAGGTGTAGACTTGGACAAGTCACTCATCTCATTGTTGTTGCTTACGGGATGGGATTGCACTCATCACTTACTCCTTGATTGTTGGGAAATGCTGAGATAATAAATCGAGTCCTAGGGAACCATAGTCATGGATGCCCTCCATATGCCCAGTTCTTCATGTGTGTTCTTCTCATGCAATCTGCTAACCATTCTGAGACAGGTACCCTTATTAAGCCCCATTGAACAGATGAGGATATGAACCCAGAAGCAGGTCTGGGAGTAAGTACCAAGGCACTAGGTCTAGGGCTGGTACAACAGCTACTGGCTCTCAAGAGCTCCCTTTGGTCTGGAGTGAGTACAATGGATGTGTTTAGCAGCCTGCACAGCCCCTGTGAGGACACAGGCTGACCAAGATCCTCACTCACCCTTTTCTTACAGGGGTATCTTTACTGAAGGCATCTGCTGCATTATCGCTGGGCTGCTGGGCACAGGCAACGGGTCTACTTCATCCAGTCCCAACATTGGTGTCCTAGGAATTACCAAGGTGCCTTGCAGCAAGCCAAAGTACCACGAAGTCCCATCTGGCTACCATGGGTCACAGTTCTGGTCCCAAATTCATCCCTATCTTGGACTTGCCCCATCAAGAGACCTCACGAGTCTCTTGACCCCACTCCCACTCCTGCATCGTGCCCCTGTTAGTTTAAGTCTAGTTCTTCTAACAGGCCCTGTCTTGCCTGTCTAGCCCCATCCTGTCCCTGGCTCCTTGCAGGTGGGCAGCCGGCGAGTGGTGCAGTACGGTGCAGGTATCATGCTGGTTCTGGGTGCCATCGGCAAGTTCACAGCCCTCTTTGCTTCGCTTCCTGACCCCATCTTGGGGGGCATGTTCTGCACCCTCTTCGGTGAGTACCTGGAGCAAACCCAGGGATGAGGCACGAGTCACTGGGTGGGAGACCCACTCAGTCAAAGGGCATCTTTAGTGGTTTCCCTGCACCTGCAGGCATGATCACTGCCGTGGGGCTATCCAACCTGCAGTTCGTGGACATGAACTCTTCCCGCAACCTCTTCGTACTTGGATTTTCCATGTTCTTCGGGCTCACGTTGCCAAATTACCTGGATTCCAACCCTGGTGCCATCAACACAGGTGCCTCTTGGCTATCTGCTATTTCTAGAGGTGGGGGAGGTGGGATGGATTCAGAATTGAGCAATGGGCTGGAAGTGTAGTTAGCTCAGTGGTCAGAGCACTTGCCTAGATATGAAAGGTTCATTTCCTAGCTAGCACCACAGCCACATTCTTTTAGTGGCTCCACACTGGCAGAATCATAAACTGTTTCCAACTCTGGATCATTAACGAGAGCTGAGCAGCTAATTAAAGTAGAATACTTTGTTCTGTTGGACACTGGCAGCTCACACCTATAATAGTAGCTACTTGGGAGGCTGAGATCTGAAGAGCTTTGTTCAAAGCCAGTTCAGGCAGGTAAGTTTGTGAGACTCATCTCCAGTTAACTACCAGAAAACCAGAAGTGGAGCTGTGGCTTAAAAGTGGTAAAGTGGGGCTGGGAAGGTGGCTCAGTAGTAGAGTGCTTGCCTTGCATGCCTGAGGCCCTGGGTTCGATTCCTCAGCACCATATAAGCAAAAAAGAAAAAAGCCAGAAGTGGCGCTGTAGCTCAAGTGGTAGAGCGCTAGCTTTGAGCTGAAGAGCTGAGGGACAGTGCCTAAGCCCAGAGTTCAGGCTCCACGACCGGATCCAAAAAAAAAAAAAAAGTGGTAAAGCAGGTCTGGGAAGGTGGCTCAATGGTAGAGTGCTTGCCTTGCATGCATGAGGCCCTGGGTTCAATTCCTCAGTACCACATAAGCAGAAAAAGCCAGAAGTGGTGCTGTGGCTCAAGTGGCAGAGTGCTAGCGTTGAGCTAAAGGCTGAGGGACAGCGCCCAGGCCCAGAGTTCCGGTCCCACGACCAAAAAAAAAAAAAAAAAAAAAAAGTGGTAAAGCACTAGCCTTGAACAGAAGAGTTCAGGGATAGCACCCAAGCCCTGAGTTGAAGCCACACCAATGACAAAATAAAACAAAAAACACTTTCTTTGAACAACTACTGAGTTTTACATGTGCTCATTTACATGTGAATGTCGAGCAGATGCCAACTCCACTTTACAGATGAGGTCATAAGGCTAAATGGTTTGTCTCAAGTTAATAACTAGCATTGCGCAGAATTGTCACTGAATCCAAAAATATGACAGAGATACAGATAGGTGCAAAAGTCAAGTGTTATACCACTCAAGAATTGTCAGGTGCTGGGTACATGTGGCTCATGCCTATAATCCTAGCTACTCAGGAGGCTGAGATCTGAGGATCACGACTCAAAGCCAGCCCAGGCAAGAAACTCCTTGAGACTCTTATCTCCAATAAACCACTCAGAAAACCAGAAGTGGCCCTGTCGCTGAAGTGGTAGAGTGCTCACCTTGAGCTGAAGAGCTGAGGGACAGTGCCCAGGCCCAGAGTTCAAGCCCCACGGCCAAAAAAAAAAAAAAAAAATTGTCAGGCTGCACAAGTAGCAATACCTGATGCCCATTGGTTCTTGGCTTATTTCACAGGCATTCCTGAAGTGGACCAGATTCTGACTGTGCTGCTGACCACAGAGATGTTTGTGGGTGGGTGCCTTGCTTTCATACTGGACAACACAGTGCCAGGTACTGGTCAGCCCTGAGAGGCTATGAAGAACTAGGCTGAACTCATGGAATCCAGCAGATGTGGCTGGGTCAGATACCATACAAGCCCTGTAGGGAACAACAGGAAGTATTAGGCTGATGGAGTGATTACTCCTCTCAAGAGAGGGTGAGGCCAGGAGTTATTTCTGGGTGCATTCCTCACCAATTCTTTACAACTACTGGGCAGAGTGCACCTGCATTCATAGTTGGACATATAGGAATGCAGTATCAGTTCATTGGTAAATTCTACCTCAAGTATATTAAAAGCTGGTTAGAGCGGACAATTGAGCCACTAAATGATTCATTTGGCACCAGAGATTTTTGTAGAGATTGTGGAGAATACTTCATACCTGTGACTTCATAGGTGTGTGTGTGTGTGTGTGTGTGTGTGTGTATATATATATATATATATATATATAGAACGCTATGGGCTGGGAAGGTGGCTCAGTGGTAGAATGCTTGCCTTGCATGCATGAGGCCCTGGGTTCAATTCCTCAACATCACATAAGCAGAAAAAGCTGGAAGTGGTGCTGTGGCTCAAGTGGTAGAGTGCTACCCTTGAGTAAAAAGAAGCTCAGGGACAGCACCCAGGCCCTGAGTTCAAGCCCCAGAACTGGCAAAGAAAAAAAAATTGCTTGTGCCTAAAATCCTCCTGGAGGTGCTTTGAAATAAGATAATGCAATTAACATAGCATGGAGCCTGGCACACTGTAGTCACAAAATACAACATCTATTAGGGTTTCCCAGAGACCTGGCAAATTTGGAACAAAGAAATCATGGATTCAAGATGAACATGGTGACTAAAGTCTGTAATCCTAGCTATTAGGTTTGAGGCCAGCCCAAGAATAAAACCAGTAACTAGTCATGGTGATGCACACCTGTTATCCTAGCTACAGGGGGAGCATGATGGGTACATGCAGTGGCACATCTCCAGTGACACAGGTAAACACAGGATCACAGCCTAGGCTCCTCAGGCATAAAGGAAGATCCTACTTTTACCAAAGAAAAAAAGGGGCTAGAGGTGGGAGCTGGTGGCACAGCTACTCAGAAAGCTGAGATATGAGGACCATGGTTCAAAGTGGGCCCAAGCAGTTAAGTCTATGAGACTCTTATATCCAGTTAATCACCACTAAAATACCAAAGTGGAGTTGTAGCTCAAGTGAAAGAGCACTAACCTTGAGGGGGAAAAAGGGGGCAAGGAGGAGCTGAAGCATGGCTCAAAGTGGTTGAGCACTTGTCTTGTAAGAGTTAAGCCTGGAGTTCAATCTCCAGTACCACCAGGGGACAGAGGAGAAAATGGATTCAGAGTAGTTGAGTTGAATGCTTTTTTTTTTTTTTGTCAGTTGTAAGGCTTAAATTCAGGGCCTGGTTGCTATCCTTGAGCTTTTTCACTCAAGGCTGGTGCTCTACCACTTTGAACCATAGTACCACTTGGTTTTTTGGTGGTTAATTGGCAACAGAAGTCGCAAACTTTCCTGTCGGGGCTGGCTCAAATCTCAGACTCCTGTGTAGCTTAGGAGTATAGGCATGAGCCACTGGCATGCGTGTGCACATGGATTAGAATGCTTGTTTTGTTGTTGTTGTTGGTAGTGGGGCCTGAACTCTTGGCACTGTTCCTCAGCTCTTCAGCTCAAGGCAGACTTTTTGTTTATATGGTGCTGAGGAATCAAACCCAGGGCCTGGTGCATATGAGGCAAGCACTCTACCACTGAGCCACCTTCCCAGCCCCAGAATGCTTGTTTAGCAAGTTGGAAGTCCTGGGCTCCTCTCCCATATCACACAAACACAAAGAAATGAATTCAACATTTCTTTCCCCCGGGGTGCCAGTCCTGGGACTTAGACTTAGCCTGGATGCTATCTCTGAGCTCTTTTGCTCAATGCTAGCATTCTGCCACTTAAGCCACAGCTTCACTACCAGCTTTTTGGTGGTTAATTGGAGAAGTCTTGCACTTTCCTGCCCAGGCTGGCCTTAAGCTGCAGTCTCAGACTGCAGCCTTCTGAGTAGCTAGGATTACTGGCGTGAGCCACCAGCTTAAGGCTAGCGCTCTACCACTTGAGCCACAGCGCCACTTCTGGCTTTTTCTGCTTATGTGGTGCCGAGGAATCCAACCCAGGGCCTCATGCATGCAAGGCAAGCACTCTACCACTAAGCTATCTTCCCAGCCCCATGGCTTCAATTTTCTTTTTTTTTTGGGGGGGGGGGGGTCCAGTCGTGGGGCCTAAACTCTGGGCCTGGGCGCTGTCCCTCAGCTCTTCAGCTCAAGGCTAGCGCTCTACCACTTGAACCATAGCGCCACTTCCGGCTTTTTTCATTTTGCTTATGTGGTGCTGAGGAATCGAACCCAGGGCCTCGGGAATGCAAGGCAAGCCCTCTACCACTGAGCCACTTTCCCAGCCCCAGCTTCAATTTTCTTTGTACCAGTATTGGGGCATGAACTCAAGGTCTCTCTTCTTAGTCTTTTTACTCACAGTAGGCAATCTACCACTTGAGCCACACTCCCACTTTTGTTTTTTTTTAATTTAGAAATAAAAGGCCTCTCAGATTTATCTGCCCATGCTGGCTTTGAACCATAGTCTTCATATTTCAGTCTCCTGAGGAGCTAAGATTTTGAGTGTGAGCCACCAGTGCCAGGTTATCAGACAGTATTTTTTTGTTTGCTTAAATGTAAGGATTAGAGAACTATTACCTAGCATGTAGACAACCCTTAATTTGACTCTCAGCAATATGGGGGGAAAAACACAAAACACCAGACACTGGATTCTAGAAATCTTCCTTGGATTATGAGAAGGGGAGACAGCTGAAGTTTTGGGTTGTGGTAATGACCATATTGTCTTTTCTCCAGGGAGCCCAGAGGAACGAGGCTTAATACAGTGGAAAGCAGGGGCTCATGCCAGCAGTGCAACATCTGCTAGTCTGAAGAGCTATGATTTTCCCATTGGAATGGGCATAGTAAAAAGGATCGCCTTTCTGAAATACATTCCTGTATGCCCAGTCTTCAGAGGATTTTCTACAAGGTCAAAAAGTCAGCCTTCAGTTCCAGAAGACACTCCAGAAAATATAGAAATTGGGTCTGTGTGCACCAAGGTCTGAAATGCTACTTCCAAGAAAGGTAGGATGCATCTATGGCTTTTGTAGGAGAACTTAATATTCAAATATTCCATTTGAGCAAAAGGAAACCAAATTTCTATTGTTTTTTTCCCCCCATATACTTGAATATTCCCAAAGAGTAGGTATACTGAGTTAACACCTCAGTTGGACTCTGGGTGGAATTCTTTCAACATTTTATAGTAAGAAGTGAAATTTCCAACTGGTATAGACCAGTGGTTAAGTCATAAATATGATGACCTATTATTCTTCCCAGTTACCTGGGTAGAACCTGAACCAAGTGAAGCCCACAAGCAGTCATGGGCATCCTTGCATTCCAATATGCTGAATACTTGACATTTAGCTTGAAAAAGTTTGACAATACTAATACAGAAAAGTTTTGTTTCAATAGTGGCCATAAAATTAAAACATTCTGACATGACTTGCTATCAAAACTATGCAATACAAGCCCTAATGAAGTGATCATTTCCCTAGGGTTTCAAAATGTGTAGGAAGCTGATGTTCTGAAATGTTCCATCCCCATTTGGTTTAAATGTGCCTTTTTTTTTGGGGGGGGGTCTGGTTGTGGAGCCTGAACTCTGAGCCTGGGCGCTGTTCCTCAGCTCTTCAGCTCAAGGCTAGCACTCTACCACCAGAGCCACAGTACCACTTTTGGCTTTTTTCTTTTTGCTTATGTGGTGCTGAGGAATCGAACCCAGGGCCTCATGCATGCAAGGCAAGCGCTCTGCCACTGAGCCACCTTCCCAGCCCCTAAATGTGCCTCTTTTCTAAAAAGTTAGTTTCAATCAAAGCAAGTGGAGCCTAGTCTACACTGATTGATTGATTGATTGATAAGACAGAGACTTGGCTATGTTGCCAAGGCTAGCTTTAAAACACAAGATCCTGTCTTAGCTTTCTGAGCCCATTTCAGTGCTGAGATACCTGTATCACTTGCTGTGGGTTTTTTTTTTCTTTTTTTCCTTTTATTGGTTGTGGGGTTTGAACTCAGCATCTGGGTGCTATTCCTGAGATTATGTACTCAAGGCTACCGCTCTAGCACTCTGAGCCACCTCCAGCTTCCTGTTGGTTAATTGAAGATAAGAGTCTCATAGTTTCCTGCATGAGCTGGTCTTGAACCATGATCCTCAGATCTCAGCCTCCTGAGTAGCTAGGATTATAGGCATGAGCCACTGATACCCTGGTTCTTGCTGTGGTTGTTTTTGGATGCTTTACCACTAAATTACACTTCCAGAGTTAAGTCTTTTTTTTTTTTTTGGGTCCGGTCATGGGGCCTGAACTCTGGGCCTGGGTGCTGTCCCTCAGCTCTTCAGCTCAAGGCTAGCGCTCTACCCCTTGAGCCACAGCGCCACTTCCGGCTTTTTTTTTTAATGTGGTGCTAAGGAATCGAACCCAGGGCCTCAGGCATGCAAGGCAAGCGCTCTACCACTGAGCCACCTTCCCAGCCCAGAGTTAAGTCTTTTTGTCAGTCGTGTGGCTTGCACTCTGGGCCTGGGTGCTGTCCCTCAGCTCTTCAGCTCAAGGCTAGTGCTCTACCACTTAGCTACAGTGCCACTTCCGGTTTTCTGGTGGTTTAACCACTCAAATAAGACTTCCTATGTGCCAGAATATTCTTAAGATCTTGATGTGTATTCAATAAATCACATAATCTAGAAACAGGTATTGTTATGATAGGTATCAAAATGCTTCGTATGAAAAGTGTTCCTGATTTTGGAGCTTTTTTGATTCTGAAACATTTACAGACTATTCTGACAATTCCTAATCTAAAAGTCTGAAATCAAGTATTCTAATGCTGAGGCTGTGGGTCATGTGGTAGAGTACTTTCTTACCATTTATGAAGCCCTAACGTCAATCCCCAGAATCAAACACACAAAAATGCTTTGAAGTCTAAAACTCTTTTGAATATTACCTCAGCAATCTAGAGAATATAGAAACTAAAGCATAGTAAAATTAAGTGACTTATCCATGATCACAGGACTCTCATCTAGAAGTGTGGCTAGAATCTTTGCTCTTCATAATTAGGTCATAGTGCTTAATTCTCTAATTGGTGCCCATTACACTGCATTGTAACAACTTAGCAGTACGTGCAGATGAAGTCATTTGCCCTGTAAGTTTAGAGAGAAAGGACCAATAAGCCCCATATATACACATACATATTTTTAAGTCTCACATTTTGACAGCTGGCAACACAGCCTATGCCAACTGAGCAGAAGAAATTGCCTGAATTTTGTTTCCAGAAAGAACAAGAGTCAAATATGATTAGCTGTTTCAGAGTTTTTTTTTAAAGCCTATTTAGGGACTGGGAAGGTGGCTCAGTGGTAGAGTGCTTGCCTTGCATGCATGAGGCCCTGGGTTCGATTCCTCAGCACTACATAAGCAGAAAAAGTCAGAAGCGCATTGTGGCTCAAGTGGTAGAGCTTGAACTGAAGAGCCGAAGGACAGTACCCAGGCTAAGTTCAGGTTCCATGCCCGACCAAAAAAAAAGGACCTATTTAGTACTTGTTAAGACAGCTATTGAAAAAAATTAAGAAAAAAGACTCCTATTGGGGTATAGCTTGGTCGTAGACAGCTGACTACCATGTGTAAGGCTCCTAGGTGATCAGTACAATGAAAAGAGGGGAAGCCACCTGCTATGCCTTCCATGAAGAATGTAAACAAGAAATGAATAGATCTTAATCTTTAGCCAAAGAAAGCCAGTGCTAAGCAAGTACTCTGTCACTGCCACTGAGCCATACCTCAGCTCAACCACAGTTTTGTTAACATAGCTACCTACAATGCCCTGACACTGCAGTCTCAGGCAATAAAAAGGACAGAGCAATGGGGTTTATTTTACTGCTGTATTGTGGACAGACACTTGCACAGCAGTATACTTACTACTGTGGATTTTAATAAATCCTGCTCTCAGCACATTTTGCCAGTAGGGTTGTCCTGAGGTACTGGGTCCCCACTAAAGTATCACTACTGGAGAGTCTGCAGTCTATTGCCAATAAACACAAGCATCAGCTCAGTTCTACTATTATTTATTTTTTTAAATATTTTTGAAAAAATATAATTTTTTTACAATATTTTCAACTTAAACACTATTCACACTGAACACGTATGGCAGCTTAACCTACCCAAATATGAAGTTTAAGAAGCCAAAACTGTTCTAGCTTTGTTAAAAGAAAAATTGTGCTGCAGACTACTGTCATGATGGTTAACAATGCAAGGAAAAGCACCACTCAAATCATTTTATAATCTCTTTGTTCTATTGGACTACGAGCTGGTGTGGGTCCTAACTTACACTTTACACAGTTATGGCTATGGATACAAATCCTCAAAGGACGCAGTTCTCAAATCAAATACTTCTTCAGATACAACCTCAAGAGAATTCAATTTCTACTATGATAACATACCAGAAAAGCCAAACTAGCTCTTTATCAGTTCATGTTCTTGTACTCTCAATCACCAAAGACATATTTGTCTGTAATGAAATTAACAAATGAACCAAAAAAAGGAGATTCTTTCTGATGAGGACAAATGCAATTGAGAATTCTGCTTAACAATTAGAATTCTTTTTTTTTTTTAAAAAACAAAATATAGATATTAAAAAACATTAGTAATTTCTAGGGAGCAGTTTAGCCTTAAAAACGACAATTCAGTAAGATTTAGAGTTTTTTTTTTTAATTTGGTGCTTTGTCACAACTTGACTGGTGCTTCTTTCCTCGCTGTCTTTACATTAAGCCATGGGGCCAAATCTATTTTCAGTAAATGTTTGACAGCTTTTTACTTAATAACAGTCTCAGCACTTTTATTAAGCATGCAAGACTAACAAAAACTTTGGCAATGCATAAGTGTAACACAGTGACAAGAGAGAGCTTTTACAATTAAGTCTTCTAATACTGCCTTCACAGTGTGGAAATTGTGCTACATCCACCAAAAGAGGGCCCCGTCTACTGAAATATTTTAGTACTTCACCCCAGGAACAAACTCCTTTGCATTTGGATTCAGATTGCTCTTGACCTGGAAAATAAGTACATAAAAAAAAAGCAAGTTCATTACAGATGGCTTCAGTAACTCAGAAGCATTCAGTTTAGATCCACATGCAAAAATATTTTTCAGAAAAATACAAACAAAAGAATTCAGATTATAACACTACACTTGGCCACTCGCACAAACTAACCAAGCTATGGCAGGGAAATGAAATGTGAGATGAAAGCCATATTTTGTATGATATCAGACTGTATCAATTTTCTTAGAGCAAGTAGGAATTGCAGTTAAGCTTGCTTAAGTGTAAACAGAAACCCACTATTTCACATAAATTAAAGAGACAGGACTGAATAAGGAATTCAATATGATATTTAACTTTTGCAAAATAGTTCGATACTATACAAACATGTTCATGTTGAAATTATGCTTAAAATAACTAGTAGATTGTTGGTAGATTCATTTTATTTTTTTGGTCCTCACTGAAAAGTTGGAGTAGTCTTTCTACAATTGCTGTCTTCTAATTCCCACAGGAGACATGGTATAATAACAGAAAAAGAAACTACAAGGGGAGCCAGAAGACCTAAATTGGAAATCTCAGCTCTGCCCCTATCTAACTTCGTGTGTAACCTCGGATAAATTACTCTCTCTGGGACTCCATTTTTGTATCAGCTTAAAAAATGGAAACACTGAGCCAATGTCTCTAAGAGCTAATAGAGACTTATTTGTTTTTAAGTCTTTACTTTCCTAAGCCAACATGACAATGTATAAAAAGAATATCTGGAAATTCTCCAATTTTCACATTTTGAGTTGTAAATTGACTTAAAAAAATTAAAAAAGAAACCAGGACAGATTCCAAATTTATGTAGGCATTTTGGTAGGCTATGATGCTGGATATAACCCCAATGTTACTTACTTTTAGACCAAATAATAACATTAAAACAACGTATTAGAGCAATAATTTTACTTTCATAATTTGTACACAATGGTTTTCCTTAGATACGATATACTTTCACTTCCCCCAGGGGAAATGTTTTTACAGTGTACAGTTTAGGGTTGGAGATGTAGTGCAGTCATGTGCCTGCTTAGAATGCACAAGGTCCTGGGCTTGTTCTCCAGCACCACCAAAAACACACACACACACACACACACACAAAAACCAACAAAACAGTAAAATAAATAAAGTATAAGTTTTAAATAAAAGCATAATACTTGTTTATACATTCTTTTGGCAGCTATGGAAATAAATAGACTGGATCAAACTAGTTTCTGTATTATAAATTTATATTGAGCCTGGGCAAAATACAATGAGCCTACCAAAAGGCTTTATTCATCAGGGCAACTGGGATTATTTGTGACAGGACTAATGTCCATTAGCAAGCATGTATCAACAGATTATTATTATTTTATTTTTTTGCCAGTCCCAGGGCTTGAACTCAGGTCCTACTTAAGTACTGTCTCTAAGCTTCTTTTGCTCAGGGCTAGCACTCTACCACTTAAGTCACAGCAGCATGTCCAGTCTTTTTTTTTGGGGGGGGGGGTCTGGTCGTGGGGCCTGAACTGTGGGCCTGGGAGCTGTCCCTCAGCTCTTCAGCTCAAGGCTAGCACTCTAGCACTTGAGCCACAGCACCACTTCCAGCTTTTTTCTTTTTTCTTATGTGGTGATGAGGAATCGAACCCAGGGCCTCAGGCATGCAAGGCAAGCGCTCTACCACTGAGCCACCTTCCCAGCCCCATGTCCAGCCTTTTCTGTTTATGTGGTACTGAGGACTCGAACCCAGGACTTCATGTATGGTTAGCTAGGCAAGCACTCTACCACTAAGACACATTCCCAGCCCACCAACAGACTTTTTTTTTTTTGGTCAGTTGTGGGGCTTGAAGTCTGGGCCTGGGCACTATCCCTCAGCTCTTCAGCTCAAGGCTAGTGCTCTACCACTTGAGCCACAGCGCCAAGCCTTTTCTACTTATGTGGTGCTAAGGAATTGAACCCAGGGTCTCATGCATGCGAGGCAAGCACTCTACCACTGAGCCAACTTCCCAGCCCACCAACAGACTTTTCAGATCACGATCTGTTCAACTGGATTACTATCATTTACCACAACAGAGACGAAACCACAATATAAATTTCAGAGTTTCGACAGACTCCTTTGGGAAAATGAGTTTCCAAATGGCTGGTGGAAGGATGGCTATATAATAAATTGTATGGAAGGCTGTTTAAAAATACTTTTAGAAAAATACTTCATTCCATTTTTTACCAATCTCACCAAATATTTATGTCAAGATGAGAGAAAACTTCTCATCATGCTACTTTCATATAGGCAAGTCATATGGTAATATTGCATTTCTTCATTAATTCTTTAACATATTTGTGTATCCCACCTACAAAATAAAAGGCAACTTCAAGGCCAAAAGCAGTAGCAAGAAGTCTGTTAGTGGTCTAAGACGCCACACTGTTGCCAGAAGTCACTCTTTGTCATCAATGAAATTGGGAGGCCCCTGCTCCCACTCTTAAGCAGTACAATTTTTGGAAGGGAAGAGGTGTAGAACTCTTCTTAATAGAAGGTAGCTGGCTTTTCCACTTACAGGAAAGATGAGGTAGGGTCTAAAAAGATTTTAAAAAAATAACATTTTTACCACAAGATCTTCCAGAGAAGAGCCATCACTGATAACAAGGTCATTAAATTGGTCTTGGATTTGGTCCATAGTTTGTGGGAGATCTCGAGCTGGAATAAACCACTCATGTTCTTCTTCCTCCTCCAGCATTTCTTGGAAACAACGTTCAATAAATTCTTCTTCCCACAACTCTTCTTCTATCTAGATTTACAATAAATAGAAGATAAATTACAGCATATTTAGTAAGACATCATGGGTGATAGCTTAAAATATCTTAAACTAAATAACTTAAAGCCAAAATGTTCAGTAGTGTGTGATAGCACTTGCCTATAATTCCAGTTATTTGAGAGGTAAAGAAGATAGGATGATGATAATATGAGGCTAACCCTAGGTAAAATACTAAGATCCTATCTTAACAAGGCAAAATTGTGGCATATGCCTGTTATGCCAGCCAGCTACAGGGGAGGAGATAGGAGTGGGGCTTAAGGCCTACCAGGCAGAAGGTATAAGACCCTAAATCTGAAAAATAACTAAAGCAAAAAGAGCATGGGGCATAGCAGAAGTAGTAGGACTCTAACCCTTGTTTTATTATTCTCTTCAAGGGGTTTAAATTTATTTTATTGTAAAAATGCTGTACAGAGGGGTTACAGTTACATGAGTAGGGTAAAAGTACATTTCATAGCGAGCATTGTTACCTCCTCCTTTTTCCCCCCTACCATCACTTCCCTCAAACTCCTCCCACTCCCCTCAACTCCCCCCCCCCAACCCCGACATTGTAAAGTTCGTTTTCAATATAATGTCCGGTGCATCTTGTTGTCACAATGGGTCAGCCTGCATCCTCATTTAAGCATTCTGCAATATCCCTTCCCCTCCCCAAATTACAAAAATACATATAATACAAGATTCAAAGCACCAGCATCAAATCCAGTGAAAACAGGGGTTATACCATGGGGGAAGAACATATAATAGAAACAAAAGAATCACATAGTGTATGAAAGGGGTTTAAATTTAACAGGTCCCTTTATTTTTTTAAATTTTTATTTATTTATTTATTTAGTCAGTCGTGGGGCTTGAACTCTGAGCCTGGACGCTGTCCCTCAGCTCTTCAGCTCAAGGCTAGCGCTCTACCACTTGAGCCATAGCACCACTTCCAATTTTCTAGTAGTTTATTGGAGGTAAGATTCTCATGGACTTTCTTGCCTGAGCTGGCTTTGAACCACGATTCTCAGGAGGCTGAGGCTTCCTGAGTAGCTAGGGTAACAGGGCCCGTTATGTGTATAAAGCATCTTGATCAGCATCACCTTTCCATCATTTTCCCCCTCAAAATGTTTGTTTAGCAAGGAATAGGCCCCAAGTTGAAAGCCCCATATCACCAAAAAAGCAAAAAAAAATTAAAGGTATAGGTATGCACCTATAATCCTAGCAAAGATCAAGGCCAGTCTTGAGACCTTGTCTCAAAATCAAAAATAGTTCAGGTGCTGGTGGCTGATGCCTGTAATCCTAGCTACTCAGAAGGCTGAGATCTGAGGATCATTGTTCAAAGCCAGCCAGGGCAGGAGACTCTCATGTCTAACCACCAGAAAACTGGAAGTGGAGCTGTGGCTCTAAGTGGTAGAACACTAGAATTGAGCAGAAAAACTCAGGGGATAGTGCTCAGGCCCTAAGTTTAAGCCCCATTACTGGGGGGGAGGGGGGGAGAAAGGGAGGTGGGCCATCCATGGCTCATGTCTATAATCCTACTCTGGAGGCTGAGATCTTCAAATCTCAGTTTGAAGTGAGCCTGGGCAGGAAAGTCCATCTCTAATTAATCACCAAAACCAAAAAGCTGGAAGTGGAGCCATGGCTCAAAGTGGCAGAGCACTAGCCTTGAGTGAAAAAGATGAGAGACAGTGCCCAGGTCCTAAGTTCAAGACCTAGTACTGGCACACATGTGTGTATACACACACATATACTCTTTATACAGTGGTGAAACTGAAACTCAAGGTTGTGAATTCAAACTCATGTACTGAAAAATAATTTCCATAATGTCAGGTTTGAGAGAGATTGTTCAATGGTAGAGTTTGTGCTTAGCATGCACAGGCCCTGGATTTGATCCTCAGCACTAGAATTTTTTATTTTTTTTGGGGGGGGGTCAGTCCTGGGGGCCTGAACTCGGGTCTGGGAGCTGTCCCTCAGCTCTTTAGCTCAAGGCTAGCACTCTACCACTTGAGCCACAGTGCCACTTCCACCTTTTTCTGCTTATGTGATGCTGAGGAATCGAACCCAGGTCATGCATGCAAAGCAAACACTTTACCACTGAGCCACCTTCCCAGCCCCAGCACCAGAAATTCTAAAATAATAAATCATACTTTCTTTGCTTCTGTGCAAAGGGAAAAAAATGCTTAACATTAAGACCTGAGAAGATCTGTTTAAAGGTTTTCTAGGTCTTAGTCTTAGAATACTTTTATTTTTCATCAACTGGTAATGAAGAAATAACAAAGGAGTACTCTCTTCAAGGAATATATATCAGAATTTCCCATGAAACCTTACTACAAGCCCTCATCCAACTCCTCCAGTGCCTAGAAAAACATCTTTAGCTAATAAGGCAAGGCAGGGCTAATCTGAATTCCTTAGTGACAATCAGTTTTACTATGGAATGTACAACTCGATATAGAGAAAAAAAGCTAGATACTGATTATTAAAACCATGATTGGACAGGGAAAGGGGAATGGAATAAGAAGGAAGATGAAAGCAGATGCTAAGCATTCTCTACAGAAAACAGTGCTGCCAATTGTTTAAGCTGATGAATTAGGGCTCTCAGGTGAAAAACTGTCCGTTTTGCATCCTAATATCTATGCCTGTCTATTCCAAATTCTTGAATTCTCTTAAACTGCATAGGCAGTGTTTTCTAAACTTGAATGCTTACTGGAATTATCTAGGAGCTTTTTGAAAGTTTCCCACCCTATTTCTCCTGAGTCAGAATCTCCAGGGTAGGACATGAAACAAGTAACCCAAGTAATTTCAATAAGCACACGCATGCACACATATGCCCGCTAATCCTGGAGCTAACTCAGGGCCTAGCTGTCCTTGAACTTCATTTGCTCAAGGCTAGTACTTTACTACTTGAGCCAGAGTTCCATTTCTGGCTTTTTTGGGGACAGTTTATTGGAAATAAAGGGTCTCATGGACTTTCCTGCCTGGGTTGGTAGCTAGGATTACAGACATGAGCCACCAGTGCCTGGCTACGATTGCATTCTTAGAAGGCTATTATGTGCTACAGAAAAGTACATGCTTGTACACAAAAACTAACTTGTCTGTTGAATTCTTCTTCATTTTCCATCCACATGTACTCTGCAAATGGATTGTCATCTTCATGAGAATGACCGTTAATAATCACATCTTCATTGATGATGCTTGGGCTAGTACTGCTGCGACTTGGATCTTTCATGGTTGGCGTTAGTTGTCGTTTTTAACCTTAAAAGTAGAACAATATAGTTAATTTAGTCATTCTTTTTTTTTGGTCATATAGCTTGAACTCTGGGCTTGGGCGTTATCCCTGCGCTCTTAAGCTCAAGGCAAGCGCTCTACCACTTGAGCCACAGCGCCACTTCTGGTTTATTGGAGATAAGTCTCAGGGACTTTCCTTCCCCAGCTGGCTTTGAACCGTGATCCTCAGATCTCAGCCTCCTGAGTAGCTAGGATTACAGGCGTGAGCCACCGGCACCCGACTTCTTTCAATTCTTTCTGAGCATATATTATTACCAGGCATCACAGTAAGGTGGTTAGAGGTAAAGACAGATCAGATAATTGGAAAACTTCTTATGATTTGTGTGTGTGTGACTCCTGGGGTTTGAATTCAAGAGCCTAGGTCCTATCCCTGATCTTCTGTGCACAAAGCTAGTGCTCTACCACTAAGCCACAGATTCACTCCCAGTTTTTTGGTGGTTAATTGAAAATAAGAGTTTCATGGGCTGGGAAGGTGGCTCAGTGGTAGAGCGCTTGCCTTGCATGCCTGAGGCCCTGAGTTCAATTCCTCAGCACCACATAACCACAAAGAAAAAAGCTGGAAGTGGCACTGTGGCTCAAGTGGTAGAGCGCTAGCCTTGGGCTGAAGAGCTGAGGGACAGTGCCCAGGCCCAGAGTTCAGGCCCCATGACCGGACC